TCACCATGTCGATTGGACTGGTGTGGTTGGCGACGCCAATTCCTCCTTTTTGTTAGGTTTATTTTTCTCTGCGATGTGAATTAAAAATCAGACTGATTAGATGCAGCCAACATACTTCTGATGTTTTCAGAGAGATGTTTTTCACCTGCTGTGATACTGAACAGCAGAAAGTCCTTGAGTGCAGATCCTGTAGAGTTAGCAATAGCATGGAGTAAGAATGCTGCATCACCCAGGAACATGTGAGGTCCTCTGATGTTGGTGCCAGGCAGGAGCTCAGAGCTGAACCTTAGGGTGGATGGTGTTCTTGACATTTCTGCTGCACTTAGTTGGCCACTGGATGTATGTAGGAAGGGTCACGGAGGTTATGGTTAATTCAAGCTTGTATTTCAGCGGTGAACAAATCTGGTCCTCGAGGGCCACCATCCTGCATGTTTCAGTTATTTCCCTGCTCTTCATCTGGTCTTCAGGTTCTGCAGAAACCTGTTAGTCACCCGTTTATTTAAATCACGTGTGTTGAAGCACAGAAACATCTAAAACACGTGCTAAGTTCAGGGCCTGCGCGCCAAATGTGAGACATTCAAAGATGTATTCTTGTCTTAAATTAAGCTGCTTTAAAGCCGGCATTGACAACGACATCTCCCAGAATGCATCTCAATCATTTTACCTGTGAAATGATGGCATCTCACCAGCAGGTGCAAAAGCAAAGAGTTCAAAAAAGTAGCTCGCAAAATTTTACTGTGTGAAATCTCCATTTCACTGCTGTTTTTGCACAGTTGTACTGAGAAGTGGTAATTTCCCACTGGAACACCTCCAGGTGGGAATTACCTGTCTAAAAGTGGGAAAGTTCAGAATTCAAGATGGCAGCTACTCAACCCAATTGTACAGTGAGTTCATTTTACTTTTGATAGTATTTCTGTATCATTTATTTCACATTTAGTATACTTTTCAGTGTTTATAAGATGATGTGTTAAAACGCTGTTTCTGTTCAGGAACTACTAAGTAGAGC